AACAAAATGGGCCTACAGGAAATGTTCGCAGGGACACCCCCCTGTGGAGGAGTGTCAGGATTCCGCTCGTTCAACCCTTCGGCCAGGCATTCCGAAAGGGAACACATAAAGGAAAGGAGCTATTTTCGGCCAGCCTTCCTCAGCGTGTCTCGCGCGAAGGGTGCGTTCGGCAATTTACACCCGGACATCCGACCATCCGAGAAAATCCAAAGAATGGCCAGGTGGGAGCGGGGGGAATCGTGGAGGCGGAGATATCCCAGCCTTTGAGAAACGCTAAAAATAAATAAGGACGTGAGGGCATCAGACGTTGACCCCAAAGGTAAATGCGATATCTGCGAAGACGGAGGCTTAGCCCTGGGCCACGAGACGGAAGGCGGAAGCGGGTTTACACAGGAAGTGGAAAGTGTGGTCGAAGGTTTGCTTTTGACTCAGGTAACCGGGTCTACTTATTTCCATACATACCTGGGTAGGTATGTATGGAATCTCATGCGATAGGTATGTATGGAATCCCATGCGATTCGGGTCTAGTACAGCAAAATAATTTCTGGAAATATTAAGCGAAACAAAACGGAAAAGAAAACTTTTTCAGTCTGCTCAATGTGCCATCGCTATTTACCGGCCCGGGCCGTTCGAAACGAAGGGTTGAGAGTCATCTCAAGAGAAAGAGCGAAGCGCTTTCAGAGCCTTTTCGAGAGCAAACAAACAATTTGCCGCCGCCTTCTGAGTACGTCCTGCTCACCATCAATATTTCACCATTGGGTTCAGCCAAAGGAGTCGCTTCAGACTTCCTGGGTATTCCCTGCGATCTCTAGCACTTTGTTCAACTACCCTCTCTAGTAAGACCACTGTATTTCTGTCATGATTGTTTGGTATACATCCCATGGCTGCAATTTGACTTTAACTTGATTAAAGCAAGATCCTGAAAATGCAATTTATTAAATAATTTGTAGCATTTTACAAAGTGAGGCTGTTAAGCCCGTGCCGTGCTGGGCGAATCCATAAATATGTCAGGTGAGACAAGCAGTTACTGAATGAATTAAAAAAAAAAAGTTAGACTCTCCAGTGTGTGACATGTAAAGCATCCTGCCAAGAATATATCTCGGCAGCCATCTACTTGTACAGATATCTAGTTCTGGGGACGGGTTGAAAAAACATCAAACCTAACGGTATCTACGCTCTAAACACAGCACAGTAATGGTCAATCATGAATAAATCAGCAACTCTGCGATGTGGGGCAAAGGCAGGATAAGGAGCCACCGGAGGGAAGACGATGACGGAAAACTCCAGGATCTCCAATGCGGTTGCGGGAAAGACTGGTGTGACCCGCGCTGTGCTCCACGCTAAGCGAGCCTCACCTTCCCTTATTCTCCCGCCCTAGTCCTATCCATGCCACGAGCTCTATCCACACGTTTCCCTCGGCAAATGCATCCATAGAGAGAGAGATGGAGATCATGATCGCCTCGAATCAGCTTCAGCGACCAATCCCCGTCGACGACCTGATTAGAAACGTGTCACATGACCAAACTTGATCTCTGAATCGTGTCGATCTTGACAGCTAGACCCAGAGATAAACAAAAGTAGGGTGACAGCCTTATTGGGAAACGCGTCTGTTGTGTATGTACTGAAGTTTACATAGACATTATTGTGCAAGTATGCCCTAACGCGATTTGTTTTTGTTTCCATGATTGTGTTTGTGTACCATCAACAAGCGGATCGATCTCTGTGACTCGAATGCCGACTCGGTACAATCGGGACAAAACTACGTGAAGGGATCGGACGGGATTAAATCAACGCGGCTGCATAAGGAGGGCGAAAAGATTGCGGTTGACAACCCGAGTTTAACCCTTCAACAACTTCGCCGAATAGATATTATGTTAGTTAAGACCATTCGCATAAGTCTTTACTCCCACTCGCTGTTGCAGACACTCTGGCCCATCCAGGGGGAGGGAAGAGGAACGGGGAATAACGAATAACAGCCCATAGCGAAAAGGACAGTACTCCACGGCCAAAGGAACATGACAGAAAGGGGCGATAACAAAACCGTCATTAATACCGTCTATGAACACTATCCATACAAGGGCACAATACATGCACTGCCACGGTGGACTTCGGGGACCGCGGTGGCGGAGGCAGGACCGGTTCGGCGGAGACCGGCGACCGGGATGAGCAAGCACCAAAGGTGAACTCTTGGAGGGAAAGAAAACCGGTCAAGATCGGACCATAAAAAGCTTTGCTGAAGTGGCAGGAGAGAGGAGAGAAAATGTAGGGAGATACAGAGGAGAAGAAAGCGGAAAAGATAAGAGAAAAAAAGGATAACAAGGATACAGGAAAAGGGGAAATAGGAAATAGGGAAAGGAAGGAAGGAAGGTGAAAGAGAGAGAGAGAAAAAATATATATATATATATATATAATAATATAATAATATAATATATATATATATATATATATATATATACATACATATATATATATATATATATATATATATATATATATATATATATATAGAGAGAGAGAGAGAGAGAGAGAGAGAGGGGGGGGGATGGATGGAGAGTGAAGGGAGGGAGGGTGGAAAGAGAGAGAGGGGGGGGCGAAGAGAGAGAGAGGGGGGGCAAAGAGAGAGACTGGAGGGAGGGAAAGTGTGAGAGACATGGGTGAGAGGAAAGAGGAGACTCACGGAAAACAATTTCCCTTCTCATGTCTTGTCGTTCAGCGCCGCAGGCTGGCTGACTCACGCGAGAGGGAAACACACCCTTCTCTCTCCCCCCCCCCCATCGCTTGCCACTCTATCTTTACTTTACCATATCCTGTCGCTCGCATCTCACCCTGAGTTCCCCTTCTTCCTCTCCCTCTCCCCCTCTCCTTCCCCTTCACACCTTTCTTTTTATCTCAATCGTTTTCTTTTCTTCCTTTCCCTTCTTCTCTCTATTAACTTATCGCCATCTTTTATCGTTTTCTCTCTTCATGCTGCCTGATGCCGGCACCTCACGAGCTAACTTCACACTGACTACACCCTACATTTCGCCTTCCCCTCCACTTCCTTCTTATATTGTACTCATTCGCATAATTCGAACCAATTAGCACGTAATTAACCCAACCCCTTCATTTATTTGTTTCTCGTTCCATCATTCCACCATAATCCTTGTCTTCTTCCTACCACACATCCTTATCTGTCCTTTTTCCAACACAAGCATATGATTCCCCTCAGCCAAAACAGCTCAAACACTCTCTCCCTCTCCCTTCCTCACCCTCAACTCTCCCTGCCCTCCCTCACGTCGCTCGCTCCCTCAAGACTGAGCGTCCGCATCCTGACCCAAGTATCTGCCTCGTTGGGCGGCACGGGGTGGGTGTTGGGTATAGGGATACCGGAATGAGGGCACCGGGAGACAGAAGAGCGAGTGTGGGGAGGAAGGAGGGTGGGGGTGGGGGGAGCCACAGCAGGGCGGGAGGAATGGAGTGAGGTCCATTCACGGGAGGGGGATAGGGGTGAGTGCGTGGGGTTGGGGGTGGAAGGGTAAGAGAGGACGGACAAGGCACGGCGGAGGTTTGTGGTGAGGTACAGAGAGGGGGGGGGGGGGTAGAAGCAGAGGAGGGAGTATGGAGCCTGACTGTCGGAAGTGTACAATTATCTCGAGTTCCGTTTTTCTTTAGAATGTATGGAGGTTTCTCTTTTGTTACGAGTTTGTTACACCCCCTATATCTTTTTCATTATCTCCAATGAAAACTTCACGGTGTTGCTTCACTAGAACTTCACATCACAAAAAGTGCTGTACTGAAGAGAAAATCAATACAAACGAACATTCATACAACTATTCATTCTGTCATCCTAGGCAACTTCCAGATTCCTCTTCAGTTCTAAGCATACACAGCACGGCTGTAACATGAACACACCGTCTCCTCCTCCTCCTCAGCGTCTGGTTTCGCGGCTTCGAAGTACACAGCGCATCCAAGTCCCCCGCCGTCCAAAAATAAAGCCATGCTGCCTCTCTCCCGGAATAACACCCGCCCCTTCATAAGAATACAGTCACGCCCACTTCCGATGCTGAAAAATGCCAAATCTCGCCCATCCGAACACCTCACCTTTGTCCTTCCCAGAGACCTACCGACCACGCCCACATGAGCAGGCAGCTCCCACAAATGCAGCCACGCCCACTACCATCCCATGCATACTGCCACGCCCATAAATCCGCTTGTGGCCCAGCAAGCCACCCCTCCCTCGTTCCGACAACTCACTCAAGAGCAGCCTTTTCCCCTTCTCTTATCGTCTCAGCCGCATCTACTTCCTCACGCCCCCCCCCTCCCATTCCTCTTTCTCCCAACCGTGCAAACACTACAAGCAGACAAGCAGGGCCACATGACACACATTCAGACACGCATGCTGTGCTTCTGGCTGGCTCCGATGGCCCACCCATTTCCTCAGCTCCTTCGCTCCTCGAGTTCCCACCCTCGGCCTCCGCCGTCCATCCCAGCCTTCCCCGGGAGCGAGCGCGCACCCAAAACGAAGAAACGAGAGTAATCTCCTTTAGTCTTTTCCCAAAGAGCACAGCCCGAGGGGGACAAATAGATCAATGTTAGCAGGAATCCGTTCCATCGACCCGCTGTGCCCCGCCCTAAAAACGCTGACCTTCAGCACCCGACACCCGCCGACAGTACACCCGCTAGGCCGCGTCCTCGTGCTCTGTCCCTCCGTCCGACCACATCCGGCTCAATCGAAGAAATTCCCGAGAAGCGAATGAGACAAGCAAGCCGGAAGTGATATCCACAGCAATAACCAAGACAAATGGTGTCTCGTGATCCACACTTCGTCCGTAGGTGTTGCGAGGGAGACACGCCCACCACTATCACCACCCACTCATCTGCCCACCCCCTCTTTCTCCATGCCGTATTCAAACCCCGCAGAACCGAGTTGTTCCCTCGCCAAAGATAAAGACACATCACAGAAAAGTTCAGAGCTTACGTAAAGCAATGTCATTAATATGAAAATATCAAGTAACTCTTAC